GGACCGATTTATTGATCACACATTAAACCAAATAATTGTCACACGTTTATCACCACAAGTGCACGTGTATTCGGCTAAATATTAACCTTCCTTTGGGCCGACCAATATTCCTATGAATAACACATGCACAAACACTTTTTAATAATCTAAGTTAATCAATTTCCACAAGAGAGGTTGCTTTGGCAATATGTTGCTTCAATTAACCAACTTTCATATATTATATCTCTTAAAAGAGTCTTTAGTACCAAAATTTGAGAAAGAGAATCACCAATTTTGCATATTTTAATTAGGGGCCTTAGGATTAATAATTCAAAACTTTAGGGGTTGAAATTAATAAACTTGAAACTTTAGGGACCATAATTAATTAATTCAATACTTTAGAGGATCAATTAGAACAAATTTTAAAACTTTAGGGGCCAAAATTGACCAATCCAAAACTTAAGGGATCAAATTTTGAAAATTTGAAACTTTAGGGGTCAATTTGAATTAATTATGAACTTAGGGGGCCAATTTGAACTAGTAATTAAAGTTTGAGGGCTTTAATTATAAATTCAAAACTTTAATGGCTTGAATTAATTAATTTTAAACCTTACGGACTGAATTATTAAATCCAAAACTTAAAGGCCCAAATCTTAATATAACTTAAAGGTTAGGGACTGAAACGTTAATTTTATAACCCTAACCCTAATTGCAACCAAGGACTTTAAATCATCTAATTTACAAAAGAAGCCCCTGTCCCCAAATCTTGAAAAAACTGAAAAAACCCTAGAAAATTTCTTCTTTTAGCAGCGCCGGGCGCTGCACAGTTTGGCAACAGCTCTCACTGCTGCAAGTGGCAGGCGGCAGCGAGCAGCCTCTTATATATATAATTTTTTTTTAAAACTATACAGAAATCTAAATCCAAAACCCGAAATTCCAAATCTGAATTTTTCTCAATCATTAATCCGAATTACGAAAATTATATCGCAAAAGTTTTCAAATTCAACAAAATATAAATCCTAAATCATCAAATCTGAAAACTTTATAAAATATTGCAAGAACCAGATTAAATTATTCGATTCTCAATGATTCAACATGAAGATGCTCTTATACCATTTGTAGGATAATTTGTTACTTTAAATCACCGAATCTTTCATGTTAAATCATCAAAAAATTGAAGAATTAAAGTGAAAGCGTACGGCGTACCTGAATTAGATATGGTTAATGCAATAATGAATTTCGCGGTAT